TTCAGTCTTGCTGTGTTCAGGCAGATAATCTTATCTTTCAGCAGAAGATTAATATCCCTGTGGATCGTTCCCAAACTGCCTTTCCATGGTTCTTGCCTCATCAGTTGTCGCCAGTTGAACAAAATCACCCTCTGACTCTGTCTCTTCTCCAGCACTGGAGCACGTGGGAGCCCCTATATTACATTGATTTTTCTTTTTAATGTCTTCCCCCCCACACCACCCCCTCCCCAGAGCAGCTTCCTCAAAGTGTTGGTGGATACAAGACTTTTGCTATGTCTGGAAAGATGTGCCAGGTTAGTTGAGTTTACCTATGATCCGTGGACAGCAAACTTTCTCAGAATGGGATGAAAAGGAGACGTAGGGCAGAAGGTTTATGTTGTTCTGTTTCACAGACAGGGGAAAGTGAGTCCCTTTACTGTGGGGCCCTCTAGGGAGGGGAAGATCTGGAGGTGTGACAGTTTGTTTTTAATACTTTTCAGCCTAAAAATTCCTGGAGCATTTATCTAGAAATATGTACCCAGAAGTGTCAGCACCACTGTCTGGTTGCAAACTCTGCTGTCAAGTTCCTGCTTTGAAGAACAAAACAGACCCCCCCCCCCAAAAAAAAAAAACCTAGAGGAGAAGAGTCATCTCTGAGTTAGCAGCTGGGAAACAGTATTAGAGTTGTGGCCTCTTCTGGAGCCACTTGACATTCCTGGAGCTTCGGCCCAGAAAATATGGGACTTCTCAGTCTGACACCACCCTCTCACTTGCATCTGAAGAATACTGAGAAGAGGAGGATTCATTTAATGAGGAATTATGAGGCAGTGATGTAATTGAAAGCCAGCTCTCATAGACTTTGTGATGAGTGCTATCACAGAGGCTCTGTGCCAATGCAACAGGTTTTCCAGCAGCCACACGTGGCAAAACGCTGTCTTGCAAAACGTGTGATCAGCTTGACCCACTTTTGATCAGGGTCAGACCCGTAGTTGATCCTCAGGTGCTGATTATCTGTCTGGAGGGCTTTGTCTGTAGGAGAGGCTATATGTGAGAAATCTCCTGTGGGCTTTAAAAAAAAAAAAAAAAAAAAAAAAATCACTGTATTGCCTTACGAGATAAGGAGAGGCCTGTTTCCCTATGGTGTCAATGCCCCAGGTTGTCTCCTTGTCCTTCACAACTCCTTCCCACCTCAGGGTCTGTGTAGACTGCTGACATCCCACTGAAAACTTCTGGCCTTTCTCTGCCTTAGTGGTCCTGCAGACCAACTCTGTGACAATTCAGACATTTTCTGGGTCAGCCTTTGCTTGTGCCACCTCATCCCAGGGTGAGTGGAGTAGCACCTGTGCATGTTGCTGTCCTGTTTACACTGCACTCCGTACCTGACTGCTAGTAGTTTTGCTGTGCCATATTGCTCTTTTCTGTGGTGAGGAGCCCAAGCCACCATTCTTAAATGGTAGGATATGCTGCCAAGTTTTGGGAAAAGGTAGAAGAGTCCCGCTGTCTGTGAAAACCCAAAGCAGCAGTTGTGCTTGCAACAGAGTGATGGTTTTCTGAAACCCTGCAACCTTAAAACTGTGAAGATTCAGCTTTCGGATCAAACGTTTTAAACAGTTCTCCTATAAAACCACCTGCAGATTCACAGGAGTTGGAAACCTTGCGTGGAGAGGAGCAGAGCAGGCTCCAGTGAGCACCCAGTGATTACAGGCTGTAACCAAGTCAGTTCATGCTTTGTGGTTCTGCTCTTTCAGACTACAGGGCATTGGCTGTGGTGAACAAGCACTTCTTACTAAACCAGTGAATCAGCTTCAATCTGCTCCCCAAAATTCTGGGTACCCTGGTTATCTCTTTATGTAACAAATTCATTTCATATTAGGTTAAATTTCCTTTGCTGTTACTTTACTGCTCGCATTGTATCAGCAGTTATAGGCCAAGCTGACCATGTGCTCTGCAGTGTTAGGTATGAGGAGAGGGATGACCAGTATCCCAGAAAGCTCCTGCTCAAATTGGAAATGACAGGGCGAGGATGGGAGGCAGGGATGCTCCTGTCTGTTTATCAGACTGGGGCCTTGGAGGTAGGAAGTGCCCTTAAATCTGGCATAGCTGGCAGCTCAGTTTATATCCCCTCCGTGGCTCTTGTGTGCCGTGAAGCTTGTGTGCTTCCACTGAGCTCTGCTTCACCATCTTGTGTCTTGGTGTGGCCCCTGGGACTGTCCTGTGCCCTTCCTCGTGCTTCATGTCTTCATGTACCCGTAGCTGCTAACCAAACCACTGCTTCTGTTGTCTCCCAGGGAGAGAGAGAGACTCCAAAGTGGATTTTCACAAGTGCTTGGGTGACTCATTCTTCTTTGAGCATCTTTACAGGTCTGGACTGTAGGGAAGGACATCCATGCCCCTTAACACTAGAATAATCCATATGTATACACCAAGAATAAACTGGCTTTCTGAATGTATCTTGTGAAAGCTTATAGCCTTTGAAGGAGAGGGAAAGGTAGATCTGAGTAACAGTAAAAAAAAAATAAATTAAAAAAAAATCCTTCATTCACAGTTAAAGTGACCTGAACTCAGCTGTCTTCTGACGCCTCAGGAAATGTGAGTGAGAATTAATTGTCTTGTGTTTTCTTTCAAATGTTATCAAAATTGAGCACAACATTTTGACTGAAAAGAAAGCATGGAAATTTCAACCTGGCTGCTATCAGGAAATACTGGAAACCCAGCCTGAGCCCAGATTTCTGAATAAAAGATACTCACCTGCAATGGAAGAGTTTCCAGAGGGCTACCTGGTGACTAATTAAAAAAAAAAATTATATGCAGAATGACATGTTAGTTCTTATTGCTGCATTTGAGCTAGGGAAAACTGACAGATTAGTCATATTCTATCATAAATGTCTTACTATGCCCATGTTCACGGATTCATTATTAATATCAGGCTCTCATATGCTTAAGATACTGGGCAAAGATCCTATGAATTGTTTGCTTTTTGAGTCAGCTTGTTTGATGGGGAGATCTATTCTGCAAGACGGAAGTGAAATGTCTGTTGTAGAGCTAAGGCATAGAGTGAATAAATACTGCATTTTCTTTATGAAGGGAAAATTGAAGCATCTCGTCACAAAATATATGCCATTAGCAAACTGGAACAAATTGGCTTTTCCAGCTATGTCATCACTTATAGCCGTACTCTTTCAATTCCGTGCTGTGTCTGAAGGGCAGAGCTAGTTATCCTCAGTCCTCTTAGAAAGAGGATTGTTTAAAGTTCAATGTCTTCTAGGAAGATGGAAGACACTGACATCATTGGAGACGTTGGTACAAGTGTGACCATGTCTGCCTTGGTTAGATGTTAGCCTGCATATTGTCTTCATCAGTACAATTTATCATTTGCGTTACACCAGTGTCTGAGAGATCTAGCTGGAATCAAGGTTTCAATATTTTAGCCACTGAAGAGAAAAATACTGGAGATTTTTCAGACACTTGAGTAAATGAGGGTAAAACCAGTCGTTGGTGATTTCGAGCATTTCTCTGAAAGGTAGGTTTGTAAGGAACATAACAAAAGACCAGAATCTTTGTTTTTGGACAGCCCCATGCCCAACACAAAATAATCAATCTCCTCCCCCAGGCCCCTAAAGCCTCCAAAGGATTATGTTTCTGGGAAACTTTTTGGCTTCTCCTGCTGTGTAGCACAAATCCCCTTATCTTAATGTTGTTGCCAAGTCCGACCTGAGAGGAGACAGTGAGGACTACGCTTACGGGAGTCTGAAAACCATGATAGTTTCTAAAACATAAAGGTATGTCTAGATCTATACAGACAATAAATGACACTATACATAAGATATGAAAATACATTGTTTCCTGCTAACTGAAATGTAGTTATCCTTCCTGTATGTGCAGGAGTTTTTTAGAAAAGAAGTGCAGTGCTGCAATGTATTTTCACAGCAACAAACGTACTGTTACTTTTAGTGAAGAACTCGATACACCAATTTGTGGTGTTTCTCTTTGAGGCTACAGCCTGTGGTACACGCTTTGGCAGCAGCCTTGCGGAGCGTTTAGGGGAGCTCCTTGCCTGGCCCGCTGATTCCCAGTAGCTAAGCCATCGCCTTGTGGGCCACTTTGCCTATTTACCCTCCGCTTCTGCACCCATCGCTCACCACCCATCGCTCACCACATCGCTCATTTCTTATGCAGCGTGCCTTCCTTTAACACAGGCAGTGTACATATCAATTTGCAAGGAGCGGACAGGCGTTGGGAGGAGGCTGCGTGGCCACGGTGGAAGTAGACAGGCCCCCTCCGTCCAAATGCTCGCTCCCTTCAGCCCCGCGGGGTGCAAATTCGCGTTAGCTGCGAAACCCACAAAGTTACCCACAAAAAGCCGGTCACCTCTGACCGCCTTGCGCGGGTGACCCAGGAGGAAAAGCACCTCTTTTGTGCGGGTGGTTCTGGGGCGCAGGGAAGGCGGGCGGTTGGCGGCTGCATCTGAGCATCCCCGCTCCGCCGACAGCGTTTGGACAACCAGCTTTCCGCGCGTATTACTAAGAAGGTTAACGAGCCCCTTCCTCAGCTGGGCCGAGCAGCGCTTGCCCCCGCCTCCCTCCCTCCCTCCCGCCGCCTCCTCCGCCCCCGCGGAGGGCGATTAGGGGC